ATCAGCTGTTATTATATTATAACATATTTTGGACTCATATTTTCCAGGTGCTACAATTATTTGAGAAAGAAATCGCACAAGGACAAGAAGATTTACGCAAGCAGCAATTAGCTCGAGGTGAAATTCGACGAGTCGTAAAAAGAGAAGTGAGTTATCCTTCGGAACGTAGGAGTTTACAGCTGTCTTAGAGCACTTGAGAATTCCCAGAGTTGCAAATTGCTAGCTAATTCTGGTCACTTACTTTAGGCCAACTTCGATCCAAGATATGAGGCGATTGAGGCTCATTGCAAATGTGTTGGTAACCTTGATATGGAATGCATACGATTCGAGACTCCACCGAAAGACGAGGTATTTCACGTCAGAAATTTTTGATTCAATAGAGCAGTCCCTTTAACATTATTAATAATAACTAGTTACGTAAATTTCAATAATTTTGCTAACGCCCGCATTCCTACACCTTCAATGAATTTTGACCAGTTGTTGAAAGCCCCTTCCTTCTCTACAACACGTTTATGATATCCCAGTTTAGATGTGGCCTTCCTTTTTAAGCTATGAAACGAATGTTACGTTGACAAGTTCAGTATAACAGAAAGGCGTTTTGAAATATATTTATTTTGCTATTGCTTAGGGTCTAATCCCAATTTGACTACGCTGTCATCACACTAACTCGCGATACCTCTTCTTGTGAAATCTTTTCTACCAAACCTTGATAGACATTTAGTTATTGAAAAATACCTTACCTATGGTTGGAAACTGGCCTAAAAAGATTATAATTCCTTATAGCAAAATCTGGAAAGTACAGAGCCTGTTAAACCTCTTTGAAATGGACCCCTTCAAGTCAGAGGCCTACTGGTGTATCTTGAAGATCACTGAAATTAGTAAATCCATATTTAGCAGTTCTACAGGTCAAAGCATCTTGTCTATAAATAAAACAAGTATGAACCCATCCGCAAATTTTTGAGCGCGTTTGAGAGCAAACACTAGCAGGTGACAAAAATATTTCTTGTCAATTCGAATTCAGTTCTTTGCTTGAAATTCAGAACGAAATTAAAATCCTTAAGGAAAACCGCGAACATGAGCGAGCGAGGAAAGGGCTTTCGAACTTTGTATTGCGTGTAATTGAAAAATTTCAAAAGTGCATGTAAATAAGTGTTAGAAATTGCGGGCAATTATGTAACAAACTATATTTGCATAAAGCTTGCTCTATACAAGTTGAACTTTGGACCTTATGCGATACTATGGAGAGAAAGCTGACATTTTTTACT